GCCAAGCAAAATGGTATAGCGCCATCTATGATCAAAAATGGAAAGTAAAGTTATATAGTACATTTATTTTGTTCCAAATTAACTAACAATGGATTATGTATTATAAATTAAGACTCGCAGTAAATTACGACAAAGCCTTCAGTTATTAAATTTAATAATTTCTATAAGCCACCGCTCATGTTACGGTCATGGCACGTGACAGCGGGATCAGTTGATAAATCACCATCTGCCAATATAAAATATACTTCTTTCACTTAACCACCCTCCTTGGGACCGAGTTATAATTCCGAGGAACATTTATCAATTTGTGAGATATTATGAGGCGTCCCCGAAATAGGACCACCAATTTTTTTTCACATTCATATAATAAACCTGCCGATGAAAGGAAGTCCGTTCTTGTCCTGCTGAAAATATTAATCAATGTTTATCTTTTGATATATTCGCTTATTTCATCACGCTTTAATATATTTACTGAACAAAATTACGATACTATCAAAAACTAGTAAAAAGGTGTATTCAATCTTATAGATAAACTACCCGGCAAATGTTATTTTGCCCTATAAATTTGGGGTGGCCACCCTTATCACTTAGAGGTATAAAAATACATAACAACCTATTCTCAGAACTACTGAATAAAATAAAATTTCATCAAAATAGGTATATGGTAAATAAAACTGTTACATGAGAATTTTATACTTATATATTAGATTAAGATGCTTGATATTTAAAAATTAAGAGACGAGCAAAACTAAATATTTTAATAAAACTTATCGAAAGTACCCAGGTATAAAGTTTCTTGCTGTCTGATGTATAAAATAAAATAGATAATAAAAATCCGGTCTTGCTAAAATGCATCTGCCGATATTTCCCGCAACAAGGTTTCCCGGGGTGTCTTAAATTGTGGGAACCTTGATGTTTTTCACATTTCAAAAGAGCCTTAAAGCTTTTCACATTTCAGAAGCGCTCTGTAAAATCGGTAACAACCTCTCTAATACGATAAGTAAAACGTTAAATATGACATTAAATATGACACAAGCGGTTCATGGCGAAAAATATAGTAATGATATATCTAGTTATTCAATAAACCTGTTAAAATAACGGTCTATAACTGCTTCTTTACAACTATAGGTGTGACGCAACGAACCATACTTGGCAAATATTGGATTAGTATTCAAACAAAGCAACAATGTAATGGCGTACCGACCTTTGTAATTTTTCTATTCAAATAGCAACAGAAGCGAACCTCAATTAATAGAGAATATTTCTTTAGCTCACGTAAGATTGTAAACAGATGACGCGTTTAATGTTTTTTTTTTCAAATCAAAGACTTTTAAATCCAATCTTAGATATTTAGTGATCTTACTAAAATGACTTAAACCAAAATGTGACTATTTTAACGATCACAGTTTAATATTCCCTCAGTAAAATATACCGATAATCAAAATTCACTGCAACAACGACGCTATTCTGTTATAAATCAGCCTCGAATTCGATGTTGCACGAAACGTTGTTATAGCATAGAAGTTAAATAAAAAAACGTACTTCAAAGGATAATAAAAGTTATATTTAATGGAAACTCTAGTTCTATTTTCACGTTACGCAGAGAAGTTCGTCATAATATATCAAATTTACATTTATCATTGATGGAAGGTTAAATGAAAACTAATGCCAAATCAATTCTTTTTAATAATATGTTATTCTTTAAAGGTGGTCACACGGCCTATTGTTTCATCAAGCGATAGTGGATTGTGCACGTGCTGCTATATTACTGCCGCTGGGTATCGCCGTGTTCAAATGTCAGCCCGTCTACAAATGCTCATTGGTGGAAACAGCTTTCCTATTACTGGTACGTAGTAGTTATAAAAATAGTAATTGATCTGCCAATTTCTTTACCACATAAATTAGTTAACAACTTTTACGATCGAGTGTCTAGAATAAGAATTTATTAGTTCTTCCACATAAAAGCTGTTCCTAGGGTAGATAGAAAATCGGATAATGACACAATATATCATGTGAGCGCTGAATGAAAACGATATGTATCGCTACAATATGTTTCAGTATCGTTTTCGTGTATTACTGCATATTTTCATACTAAATTAAGACTTCGTTTTTTATACTACTCCGGTTTAAAAGTGTCACCGTCTCTGAGATGACAGATTTTTCATTGGTAGAGATATTGTTGATGATGATATTTTGTACCCATACCGTATCGAGTTTGGTTGATTACCACTCTTCATAACACAAGGGTTTTGTCCACTTAGTTCACGATTGGAGCAATATAGCAACGTACATATGGTGTGTAGTATAATATTTATTTATAACGACTTTTCAATTTATCTAGAAACAGCTTTTCTATTAAAGGTATAAATGTGTTAAATTATCGGTCAGTTGCGCAAACGTCCACTAAGGTTTAATGACGTCTTTAAGCTCTAATGAATTTAAATTTGTATGGGTAACGTCGTTATAAACTAATGAAAAATTTAAAGTACGTTTGTACAACTGGCTGTATGTAGAGAAAGTTTAAAATAGATTTAAACATAACAAGTTTGCTTTTCTAGTTTAAAACACTGCTCAAGTATTATTTCTAATTTATCTAGAAACAGCTTTTATGTTCTTTCTTCGTGGTTGAAAACAAACAAATTGTTAGAGTTTTTAAAGAAGAAACTCGTTAATGTAACGAGTTTGTTCTTTTATTCAATGAATTTGTCAAGTATATACTTGGCTATATATATGAATTTCTTTTTATTATAATTACCATACGGACACTGCAATTAGTATGATTTTATTTTAAAGAAACATTAGCATAGATTGGTGAAGACACTAAAGAAGATGCACCTGAAAACACTTTACTATTTTATGTACTTAAGAATTTTAAGAGCTTCATCTTAAATTAATTTGATTTTCATACGTTTTCCGTTTGTAAATGATAAAAAAACGAAATATGGTATTTTTTTTAAATATAAATTGATTTAAAATTATTTGTTTCGGTTATTCTCCGCAATCGAAAGAGTTCTATAAAATAATGCTTTCCACAAAAGTAGTACCTACAAATAAACAACAAACAGCTAGTAAAGGTAATATCTGGGAAATGTGACGCTAAAGGATTATGTTTCATAAACATTCATCTTTATATTAACATCAGTCTAGTATAACCATAAAGTATATATTCGAAATAGTCCTTAATATAATTGATAGCACATCATCAGATAACACAACGAGTCCTAATCATTCAGGACTATTCTAAATTCAGGGCTGTTAATCCATTTTTATCACTTAGTATTGACCATCGTTGAAGAAGGGCTCTTACTAATGATAACAACTTTTGCATCCTGTCTCTAAATACTACATAAAAAATGCAATGTAGTGACAAACCACATTAACGAAATTTTGTAAGTAATATTCCTCATGAATAACGCAATCAAAGGACTTACAAATCCCTAAAAAATAACACCCGAACCCTATTAATTTTCGCAGCTAATACAAAGCACTTCCTGTGCAATTGTGTTTTCTTTACGCGGGGTTTCCTCAAATAATAAATTATGGCGCTCTATTTAATACTAACTAACAAGGGATGGAACAAACGCATCCATTCATCGCAGACTTTAGTACCAAATTAAGACCAAGAATTCTCAAGTCACAGGGCAGAAGCAGAGATTTATCGCTACTTAACTTCAAAAGTCAGACGGATAAGCGAAAAATGTTTAATCTAATTTCCGATAGCAGGTATTTTATCTTAAAATTCTTGTGGCGTTTGATTATAATGTAGATATAATAAGTTTCTATTTAAATTTTCACAACTTTGTTAATATTTTTGAAAACAATTTAGACTTATTCTGATAAGATAGGGCTTAATTTATATTGATGGTTAGATAACAAGGTAAAAGTTCAACAGAATATTATGACAAACTTTAGCCGTGAATTTGTGAATAATTTCATAGTTAAGCTGTTTCTTTGAAGCTGTTTCTTTGAAACTGTTTTAGTACTTTACAAAGTTTTTATTTATAGTAAGAGACTCTTTGTTTATCTTTCGACCTTTAATTTATGTATTAATAAAAAGCAGTCATACTATAATACCTACTAGGACACTTATGAGGCGTACTTAAGCATGGTAACACCTCTTTACCATACGCACGCTCAATCTATCAATGGAAGTGATTTATTGTTTAACTAAATATCCACTCTATAAGGTATACCCGATGGATTTGTATTTACTTATTTGCTAATGTCTCTATTTTCTTTATTTAAACGGTCATTCAGTAAAATATTTCCAAGAACTTTGAATAATTACATAAGAGCTTTGAAATGTAAATTATGTTACATTCTTTTAACAATAGATCTTAACTATTTTAATGCTATTAGGGGCTTAATTCAGACTTTATAACTGAATATAAAAACCAACCAAAATGAGGATTCAAAATATTTTACGTTGTAACGAATGATTTAGGATAAGATATAGCAAGGATGTTGAATGTCGACGTTGCGGCTGAATAAGTTGACGACCATGACCATTATATTAGATTTTTATTTCCTAACTTAGAATTGGTTAGGATAAAATTAAAATTTTCAATTAGTTGCATATCTAAACTACAATACCTCTGTAACACGAGTGATGAGGTACAAATGCATACTGAGTTTTCTGTGACATTGCTTTTAAGCTTTTTCTAATATTTTAGTGATTGAAATTTTCAAAACAACTTATAATTTCTGTTTTCATACTTTAGTCAATAAGTTTGAAAACTATAAAATAATACACTATAAACGATAAGTGATCACATTTTCATGGTAATAATTTATCGTTAATGTACTATTATTGTAAATCTTACAAATTATTCTATTAGTTGACACAAAAATTAAACGAAATACTGCTCGATGAAAATTATATAAAAATAAATAACGTTACTAAAGTCCTTGTGATATTTCGAAATGTTTCTTAATTTGATCCTAATACTACATCAATAACATCACTGTTTATTCCTTAGGTGACGGTGTCAACAGTAAATATGCTCACGACAGTTCTAAATGATAGTCCAATTTTCCCGGAAAACGAGGAAGAACAAGCAGATTTATCTGCCCCATTACTGATGGATAGCCCGCAGGTAATAATAGTCTAATCTGGACATTATTTTTTATTGCTCCAACGAAATTACGGTGTCAGTTAGATATAAAAATGTCCAAAATGATTACAAAAGGGGTAATTTGTCAAGAGTACCTAAGTATTAATGGCGCTAGACTAATGTTGAGTGCTATCATTTTAATGCTAGCTCTATTATCCTTTTATATATTTTTATAAAGGATTAATTTATGTATTTGGGTTGGAGATCATTAAATACATACAGTCACGTATGTTGCCAGTGGGATAGAAAGAATTAATTAAGCGATTAGTGTTATTTCAGTTCTAAGCTTTGCCAGCAATAAATGAATCCAAAAAATTCCTTGTTTTCATGTAATCGCTTAGTTTTGTATTTACATCACACTTCATTAATAATATTTGTTGCAGTGTGTCCTTTTTGGTACGTTTATGATATGGTTCGCTTCGATCACAATAAATCTTGGTCCGACATTCTTATCGGGAGCCTTAGCTGCCAGTGCCGGATCCTATGGATCTTATGGAGCATCGCCCTCGTGTCCTCTGGTCCGAGGGCCGTTTAGGCATTATGTACTCAACGCCCTTTGGATAGGTGTCAATGCCGTTTGTGTGGGCCTGACACTTTTCCATCTCAAGAAACTTCACAGGGATCTTACAAAGGTTTGTTTCAACTTTATTGTAAAGCAATATTATTAAACAGATGGCATGGAGAGGTTTGAAGCGCTTAATCTATTGTTTTGCATTACCACATCCATCACATTGTTGAAATATATAAACTTCTCCATGATATTTGAAGGCATTATTCTCTCAATCAAACGATACCATATCATCAAAGGCTTTGTCGAAGAAGTTCGAATGACACAGTTACGTAGTGCATTGCTAGTTTGTCGCGCGTCACTAAACTAGTGTCCAAAAGTCGTTGAAACTCACAAAGTCATCTACATTTTGAGGTCGCTGCAATATTGTACATAAGTATTATACTAGACTTACGTTGGCCGGACTAGAAATTTTTGTTGGTTCGTTGCCAATATTCCTAGCAGCATTTCGTAAATAAGATTTAAATTTTCGAATCCAACGTTTTACATGGATGCTTGCCCGTTCCAATCGCATCATCCATACCGAAATTTTGCTGAGTGCAAACTTATGATAAACGATTGCGTTATGCAAATTGCATTAGGAATATTGGATCAATTTAAATCTTATCGCATGGCAGGCTAACGTAGAAGCAGTACGAGTAGCTGGTTTAGTGACGACACTCGTCAGCATGGCAGGTGACAACAGGCGCATGGACTCGCTGCCCAACAGCGTTGGACCCAGGGTATTTATATTTACTTGCATGTCCTGTAGTTTAGCGTATATTAGAAATATTTTCTTAGATTGTAGTTTGCTGTAATTAGTATACCAACCGAGGTTTTAATTTTTGTTAATATAATGTAAATCGTTTTTATATTCACTACTTTTAATTATCCTTAAATCTTATTAATCCTTATCTAACTATCCATTAGCACCGATTTTAAATTTTAAATACGACACAGCTTAACCTTTTCTATTTAATCTTCCAATTACTAAATCTGAATGTTGTTCTCTATTTCTTCTAACGATTTTAATTTTCTAATTTTTTTTATGCTGATCATGTATATTAGATGACTTAAGGTTTATTTTACTGCAGACGGTAGACGGCACACTGTCAGACGGGCATAGCCGTCCGAGTGGTAGTGGCAATCTACCGCTTGGTGGTGGACGTCGTCTAAGAGGATACCTGGCGCGAGTGGAGCGTGAGGGAGTCCGACGCGTGCGCATGTTCCTTGTCATCACCGCCGCCTATGTGCTATTCTGGGGACCATTGTTCATGATAACATTACTTCATCACCCAGCTTTGACGTCACACGTAGCTTACGAAGTACGTACCTCTAATAGAATTTACTAGACCACCTTATTATACGTTCATTATTTCAAAAGATTTTTTATATAAAAAATCTTCGTGCTAAAATGGATTTATGAATATCCTGTAAATAAACTAATGAATAATTAGTTATGGAAGACTGATTTAGTGAACGAACATTGCTATTCATTAACATTGTTAATTAAATAGTGTCAGAATTTAATTAAAATAGATCAGTGAACGTTGATAGGTGCTTAATTACAAATTGTTTGTGAATTGAAAATGTTTAAGCGACGACATTTGATTGAGTTTCAGCCAACCCGTGATGTAAATGGCAGTATTCATTGGTATTTTAATTAATTTGGTTGAAAATTTTGCAACAGATGTACTTTCAAATCACATTGCACATATCGTATGTGCACGCCGCTGTGAACCCCCTGCTGTTCATGGCACTACACCGTGCATTGCGGCGTGCGGCGCTGCAACTTTGCTGCGGCTGCTGCGTTCATTGGAGCCAGTTTGTGTTAGCTCTGACAGCGGCTGGTGAGTTGAGCCCTAAGGGCGCTTGTGCACTACACTGAATTATCAGGTCCGGTGGCCCGATTTTTTCTTGTCCGATATGTCAGGCCATACAGAGATAATGCTAGCCTGTGCAGTGTCTGGAATTTTACTTTTACTTTTTTCTATTCCGGACCGTTTTTTCAGATTTTTCAATTAAAAACGTGTTTACGCTTTTAATTGAAAAATCTTCTTCTTGAAAAATTCATGAGCCTGTGGAGTAGGCTTGGGTAAAAATGATAGATTTATGTAAAATCAATATTTATCTCGACGATATTGTTAATTTTCGATATACTGATAATCGATATTTATGATAGATTATAAAATGCGATATTTCATATGATTATTTAATATTGTTGGTAAATATTACTGCATATGCTTTGGCAAACTCGATATAGTTCTAATTTGATCAGCGTATGGTTCTAGTATCGATACTTAGCTAGATTCTAGATTCGTATTAAAAGTATCGATAACTTAAGGTAAGATAGTTAAGTGTTGTTACGCTTAGACGCCTTAACAACTGAACCCATCTTAATGGAAATTAATATAGAAATAGACTTAACCTTAAGAACGGACATAGGCTACCTTTTATCACGAAAAAATAGGTGAAAATAGCGGAGAAAGTTTGTATGAAAATTTGTCATCATCAAAATTTGTTTTTAAGCATTTGATAATTATAAATACATATTTGATAAAAGGAGTATTCTAAAAGAAAAGAATTCTGCTCAAAAAAACTATACCACGCGTTAAAAATAAAAACTAGTAAGTATATATATAATGCAACCAACTGATCTTACAATGATTATAGTATAGTTAAATGTTAAATGATTACATTTAAAACTTACTAAAAAAAGGATGGCCGATTTAAATGCCACCGTAAAGTTCATTAAACATATTAATTCTCGCTTTATTTTCGAAACGGCATCAACGATTGGTCTTTATCTGTAATCGCTTGAAATTGTTTTTAAAAAACTTTGAAGAAAATTAGCATGATTATAAATTTGAACACCTGGCGTAAGTGACGTGTATCTTCAATGAGACCTGCCCTAAACTGCGCCGCTCTGATCCCGACAAAAATGGACAAGTGCACAAGCTACTCATCCGGGTTTTTCATGTCATTCCAGACCGGAATAAATCGAACCTCCGGACCTGAAAATTCAGTGTAGTTCACAAGCGTCCTAACTCTTTTAACAACAGCAAACCTAGTTTTGAATGATATACTATTTTTATTTGGTGAGGTAGATAGTATATATATATTACTTTTAAAGAATACAAGAAAGCAATCTCTAAGAATTCTTTGCAGCATGCCTTGATGTCTTTACTGATTAGTTATGACGCTGCAAGTGTTTAATAATCAGCTTTGCGACTAATTAGTGACAAAAAAGTATATAGCCATGTGGGGTGAAATTGTGCTCGTTCTATTTAAATCTGAAATAAAGAAGTGTGAGTCTGATGGGTAAATTGTTTAGTTCTACGCGTCTTGTCACCTAATAGATAATGGGGGATTAACACCTTCTTGCTTTAAAAATTAAACTATTCACTATGTGAACATTAAACTGATACTCACAGTTTACGTAGACGACTCTATAGGTAAATATTAATCATTATTTTCATATTACAGGTATTTAAAAATTTCCTTTTAGACTTTTGAAATTTTGAGACGAAAAATTGGTTTGAAAAATAAAACAAATATTTACATTTTATTTATTTGCAGCTCAATCTCCGCTGGCACCATCTTCATTTTCTCCAGCGGCCGCATCTCCAGAGCCGCCTCCAGCGCCTCCCCCTCCAATGGCTCCCCCCGCCCCGTCCGTACCCGCACCCCCGCCGGCGCCCGGCACGCCACACACGATGATGGTAATTACTTCTTATATGTAAGTGTTGACACCGTAATACGTGGTTTACTCACTCGCACCGCCCCGCACGTATACCCTTTAGAGTCCTTCCGCGAGTCCTTAGTCTTAAAAAAAAAACTGTAAATGTTAGCGCATTACGCAGTCCAAGTTCGATATTAGTTCCTGCAATACGTTTTTTTCCAATTCCAATCAACATCGTCTACTGAAACATGTGAGTTATTCATAATGTCTGTCAGCCACTTCGGACTTGACTTCGCAGTGCGCTGACACTGAGGCATGAGTGAAGAATTGATAATAAACTACTCTGTCTGTGTTAGTGGCTTCCGTAGCTGCCCTTCTCTAAGTTAAATGATATCAAAATCTCGTACTCAGAGTTGGGAAGTTGAGGAGTGTGACGCTGAGAGTATGTCGAGTGCGCGTGTGCAGGGAGACGAGGATATGATGGCCGAGGCGTGGAGCGGCAGCGTGCGTCGCCCCCCGCGCTCCCCCAGCCCCCTGCTCCCCGCGATCTGAGCCGCGGCCGCGCCCCCCCGCGCCCGCGCACCAGGCGTCAGCCGCGACACATATCCGACCTCCTTGGCTGCCATTTTCGACCCTGCCGAGACTTTGCTGTACATAAATTAATCAACGAATTGTATATAGCGTTCGTAGATTGTGACGTCATAACCTAGTTTGTGTCTATCGATCTATAAGGGTATCATATACCTAGTAAATAAAATTATAATTGGATGTTAAGATTAATGATGTAATATCATCTTATGAATTAATGTATATGTTGTAAATTATATCTTATCAATTAAGAGAATCATAAAGCTCAATTCTAAAAACCGGAGATCGAGTAGATTTGTATATTATACACCGAAGCTCTATTATAACATTTATCAGTGGTGTAAGTACCTACTATTAGATAAATTGGAGTGCGATGAAGAGTAATTATTATATATATTTTTTGTCTATGTGTGTCACTTAATTACTGAATAGTCCGAACACCAGTTAGATAGGACAAATACATAGTAAATATAAATATAGTTATAGCATCTCGTTTCTTAATTGTCGAAATAAGACTTTCTTGATGTAATATAAAATTTATCGTTCGCATCTCAAAGTTTTATGTGCAAGTTTCTGTCAACTAATAGAGTCTAGCCGGTGTTGCTAACTTGAAATTTTCCATATAAATTTATAGTTGAGATCGCCGTTATGACAAAGAAATTTTAGTATTTGATTTTAGTGGCCAGTGGTATTTAAGGTTTAATTTACAACCACACTTATTTTCAATAGGTGTAAATGAAGTTACACTTTATTTACAAAAATCTGAGTTGAGTTTCATTTGTTACCTCTTAAAACTATATTGTCAATTTGTCAGTGCAGTAAAATTCAATTTGAAAAAGATGATGATGAAACATAATTGAATTATTATGATTTTACATTTTTGAATTATTTTCATGTACCTAAGTGTTTTACTGATTGAAGCAGCCAATTTTTGTCCTAGGTATCCGCATCTAAACTCTTTGTCTTTGATATTTAACATAATTCCTTTTTTATTATTTATTTTTCGTAATTAGAAATTTTGATTAACGTGGTATGCTCTTTCTGATAGGGTTGTGTAACTCATACATTTTTATTGAGGATGAGTGAGGACCTCGTTTTACCTCATGAGGTACTTGCGAGGTACCCCTCATTTGAGGTGAGGTTAAGAGAATGAAATAAACGCAAAGATTGAGTGTGTAGCGCGGCGTAAGGCAAATGAGGGAGGAATATTGAAAGCTATAATAATTTCATATTGTAAAATAAGTTATTGTAAAAATATTTTACGCAGAATGAATGCCTTTTGGTTATTAATTTCTTTCTTTACTCTATAGACATTTCTTTAATGTTATTTCTAATTACATTCTTTTTTTTTTAACTCTTTTCGCCGTACTTTACTTCAACTGATTTATATTATTAATCTAAGATAACGTAAAATAGGCACTAGTTGCGAGAAAACGCTAAACTAAACTGAGTCGTTCTATAAAACTCATAAACCCACTAACCCACTCCCTCGATCAATCGTTTATAGATTGATTATGTATCGACTCAACCTTTCATTCAAAGTAATTGACTATTCTGCTGAGTGAGGTGTGTTATCTGTATTTGCACCTCGTGCTCGAGGCCTCAAAAAGTGAGGAGCTAAATGAGGTGGTTCAAAGTTTTGTCGCAACGAAGACCTCAAACGAGGTACCTCACGAGTGAAGGACACATTACTACTTTCTGAATTTCAGTACGTGAAAATTCACCCAGCGATGTCATGTCAATCATAAAAAAAAATTAGTAATCAAAAATGAATAACAAAAACGAAATGATGTTAGATTAAGGCAAAAAGTTTGGATGCCTAGGATAAAATTAACGGCGTGGTATGACGCACCGTTACATAGGTACCAAAAAAGCTGACAAGCCTGTTAAGTATCCTAGTAACTTGTACACCGATTTCCATGATTTCCATAATACAAGTGCTTAGCTACTTAATTTGGAATCTGAGCAATGTAATTTACATTGTTTAATATTAATTATTATATTTTTAATGGCCTACTTTTCACTGACATTTAATTTGACCAACTTCTTATTCATAACTTTTTGTAAATTCTCATTGTAAGTATAATCATATCTACCAACTACATCATATACAATGACTGATGTTATCATTTAATAAATTTTAAATCTATCGTCTTGTTCCTAGTTAGTAATGATACCTATTTAGAATATAATAAATAAAACTAGATATTTGTTAAAAAAACATACTAATTAATAATTTATTGTATGTTCATAAAATGTGTTATCATTTTTATAACTGTTAAGCCTGCCTTCCATTGAGCTTGTTTGTTCTGTCGATCAGGGCTTGAAACCGATTCGAAATAAACCGTTTTTATTTAGGTAAAATCTGTTCCCTAGTAATGTTCCGTTCCAGAGTAGAATTAAGTGCGGAGTGAAATTCGGATATAATTTAAAACCAGTTTATTCACTTGGCTCGTAAAGAGCAATGACGCTACGCTTTTAATGCGAATATATGATTTATAATTGACGGCATTTATTATACCTGTGTATGGATATAAGTATATGCACTTAAAAATCAAGCCAAACTTCCTGGGATCAGCTTGGAGTTATATTTAAACCGGCTAATTAATAAAACCGTATTTCTCGTGAACCGGTTTTAAACCGTTTCAAAGAAGCCTAGCCTTATATCTATAGTTCCGCATGTGCTTAGGTCGTACCGATTTAAAACAAAACGGTTTTTAAAGCCCTGCTCTCAATCTGATTAAACGATATAAAAAGAAAATATTATATATAATTCATGTTAACAACTATTTTAGTTTCCTGTATTTTCTTGCGCACTACTCATTTAGTAAAACTACTTTTAAACGGTTTTATATTATCGAGTATCTTGAAAAATATTAAATTTTTCAGCCATTTTAGATTCTTAAACACGGAACCTGTATAGGATCTGAAACGTCTGAAAAACTCATAATTTTTCAAAAATACACACGACACTACCTTATTAATAAATGACGATATTTTTTATTGCCAAAACTTCTTTTGGTTATAGTTTATAAAACTCTTTTTTTATACTTTCAGTAGGTACATAAAAGTATGTACATATAATTTTATACCAAAATTTTTAAAAACTACAAAAGAGTTTTTCATTAATTACAGTATTCTTTTATTCAATTGTTTCCCAAAAACAAAAATTATTACTAAAGATAAAGTTAATAAACGGTATATTTAATATTCGCTTTACTATTTTCTACAAACAGTTACACATGAAAATGAATATTATCGAATTATCTTTGCTCATAGTGGAAGGAGAGCTTTATACCGATTTTAAACCAATGTTATTAGCGTATCTAATACTAACTTATTAATTTTTTACAATTAAAAAAATATTGTTTTGAATTTGAGAAATACAATTTACATTATCGTATTTATACACAAGCTGTGCATGTACCTACCTATATTTAGAATAATTATTATTTACGAAGTTTGTAAATTAAATATTCCAAAAACTCTGTCGATAAAATACGTGAAGCTAATACTATACCACTATAAAATAATGAATACGAAATCGATATTAAATAAAAACAGAGCAATTTAAATGAATGGAAATAAAATGTTTTACTAAACGTTTTTGAAGTTTTAATGAATATCATATTTTTCCCCTTGATCCTTTTTCGAACTTAATAAATTTCATTTTCTTTGTTAAAAGCAGTGAAATTTGATAAGAGGATTACGTTTCGAAAATAACAAGACGCCTTCTCTGATCAAGGTGGTGCCTATCTGTCTTTTTTTCCCTTTTGATGCTCGTCTTACATAAAGCCATTTCCTCTGAGAGTATTCGGAAATCGTTTTCAGATTAATTTATATATAGTGAACGTCACATCAGTTTAATGTGTCAAATAAGTTCTATCAAACTTTTATCGTTACTAGTACATCAGCTCATTAAATTGCAAGAAAATGTCAATTTTATGAAATTACTAACAAATAACTTATGTACATAAACTATTTCAAAAGCAGCTACAAACCTTTACTATGATACTACGTTTTAGATCACTACAATACAACACACTACATTCCACGAAGCTATAGCAAAAAAATCATTGTAGCTTCATCTTAATAGGAAATGTATATAAAAAGTTGTGTGTTACAACAACCTAAGTCATTTATTAAATATTGAATTTTAAAACAAGAACATTATAAAATAACTAGCTGTTTTGTACATGTTACTTTATAAAATAAATAAAACGTTTTTAAAGCTATAGCTCGAGTCATAACGAGTTCTTCTTCTAAAGTAAAAAAAAAAGGCTAAAGATATCTTCTAAAGTTAGAAGAAAAAAGGCTAAAGATATGTTATACAAGTTCGTTTTGATGCGGAATGGAAGGATATACGTACGCTAGGATGAAACTGCCCAGAGTATCTTAATAAGATCTCCAGAAAGCCTTAACTTAATGGTTTAGTGTTGTTGTTTAATCCATCTATTGTATTTGATTGTTGTATGTTGTAGAGTTTGATTAATACAGTGTTTAGTTTGTATTATCAAAATGTTCACAGACTAAGAACTAAAACTAATTAAGTGTACAACAGCATTTTCGTTACTAAGTACGAGGCGATTGCTTTCATGGTAACATGGCTTAACGAAAAATTATCGACTAATGAAGTAAAAGAAAGCAGATTTATGGTGTATCGTAGGGGCCGGGTGTGCTCTGGAGAGACCAAAAAATACGGTGGTGGTGTTCTTCTAGCTGAATCTCGTGACATTCCTTTAGCTTTAAAGCCAAAGGAGAACCTGATGTTTAAATATTATAGGGCGAATTTTTCTGGCATTAACGGAAAGTTGAAGAAAATAGACTGACAAGTATTATTTTCGAAATGTAAAAATGCGATGCGATGCTTACAAAATTTTATGAAATCTTATAACAACTCAGGGATCTATCTGAAGAAATTGAGAAGCGAATAGAAGTCGATGCATTATACACTTACTTCACCAGCGCTTTTGAAAAGGTTAACTACTCTATTCTCATTAATAAGCTTAGTAAATATGGAGTGGCTGGGTCAATTTTGAGGTGGTTTGAGTCGTATTTGCGAAAAACACCACAAACAGTTGTGATCAATGGCTTCCAATCCAGCTGGTAGATCGCAGAATCGGGCGTTCCTCAGGGCTCACTCTTGGGCCCATTAATCTCTTTGATTTTCATCGGTGATATTTGTCTGTGAAGATCAAGAACTGCAAATATTTATTATATGCCTATGATCTTAAGATCTATAAAACTGTATCATCTCTTGAAGATAATAGACTTATCATCGATGATTTCAGACAGCTAACTACTGCTTACGAGCTTGGTGGCGTTAAGGTAAAGGAAGTTGAGGTGATTCGAAATCTTGGTGTCATTATCAATAATAATCAGAAGTTTGATATACATGTGGATGTAATGATTTCTAATTCTGCTAAAATGCTTGGGCTTATTAAGTGTAATACCAAGGGGTTTAGGAACGTAAGTACTAAGATTCTATTGTACAGTGCGTTGGTGCGCAGCCATCTCGAATTTGCATCGTCTGTCTGGAGCCCTTATATAGTATTCACTCGCAAAGAATTGAGAGCATTCAGACAGCACGGGACATATTGCCTTTTTTTCCTTTGGTGCGAATTTATGGCGAGTATAATGATCTTTGCAATAATATATTGGATTCGGATGTGTTTCACAATAGGTTGCATAATTTTAGAATATTTTTTT